TCTTCTATTCTGAATCCAAAACAGTCTGCCAAGCCACATACTCATCTCTCTGAGCCTCGTACCGACGATGCCTCAAAAGCACATTTACACCAGTCTGAAAGGCCACATTCGGACCATACTGAGAAATCGTGTTCGCATCACCCTAAGCCACATATGGACGAGGCTGCCAAGGCTGTTGAGTCAATTTCAGAGCGGCCCATTCCGCCAGCCTCTTCGAAGTGTCCTCCTCTCTCTGTGTCTGTGCATGACCCCGAGCAACACGTCGAGTCTCTGGCGAGCGCACGCAACCAGGACGCTCCAATTGCGACCTCCCTCGGGACGCCACAGGCACCTGCTGGTGGCCATCAGCTGTCAATATCTCAGCCCGAGCTTCCACATCGCGTGGAACTGAGAGGCAGAGGAGGTGGGACACCGAGGCCAGGACAGGCGTCCCAAGCCCAGACAAGGGCCACCGAGGGCTCCACCAAAAAGACATCGGAAATCAAAGCGGCGCCAATGCATGGTGCAACGGCGGACCCGACGGAAACCACAGTTGACCTGCGCTTGCTTTTTCAGGCGCTCTCGCTGGACAGGTTATGCGAGGGAGACGACGAAAAGCAGAGTGTCCCAAGCTGCCCAAGCGAGGTAGGCACAGGCGAACAAGGGCATGAGAAGAGATCGGTGAGGAGGAGCGGTGAAAGTGGAGGAAGAGGAGATTGTGATCAGGTAACGCCTAGAAGGCACAGCTTTCAACTTGCTGTGACCGCTCATGACCGTCGGGCCAAGGAGCACGAGCGTTCACGCAATAGCATCGCTGAAGAGGCACACAAGGGCAGAGTGAGGCAGCTGAAGTCAAAGAGCGGTTTTCCAGATGCGACCACTGGGCAGACAGACAGGAATATTATGGATTATCCAAAACACAGCCTGCATGGGACAGACCTGGACGTCGTGCCGTCGGAGGAGTGCAGTGCCACCCGCAGCAAATCCAGCACGAGCAGCACCGTTTACAACCAGGAGAGGCCTCGGCAGAGGATCGAGTCGTCTGGCTCACAGTGCTGGTCTCTTGATGGTGCTGATGGCAAGGAACGCGAGCAAAGAAGCGAACAGGATACGCAGAGTCACGAACGCAACGATGGCGGGAAGTCTGACGCGTGTGACGGCACCCGGGAAGGTTTGCTAGGAAATAACCAGAAGGAAAAGACGAGGGGAGAGCGAAGCCACAGAGTGGATAAATGTCAGAGGCCCAGGGATTCGCATCGCAACGCCGACGCTTCCGAAGAGCGGTGTCACGGCAGCAAAGGTAGCAAACGCCGTGTGGGAGAGCGTAAGCGAAGGCCTGCTGATGACTTGGGAGGATGCTCGCCGGTGTGCGAGGTCCGGTATCGCAGGAACGGCTCGGCAGAGAAACACAACGCGAGGCATAAGGCCAGCAAAGTAGAGAAGCGTGGAAGTGCGGAGAGAAGAGAGGGAAAAGATGGCGTGTGCGGCCGGGGAAATTTACATAAAAACAGGGAGGGGGAGAGTTCCCTTCCGAGGGAAGCCACCTCGAGCGCCAGCAGGAAGAAAATCTCCGCGGAGAAAGAAAGGTCCAAGGAGAAGCTGAAACGTAGTGGTGGCGCAGCGGTAAGAACACCAGGTGAAATGCAGGAACACAGTCACTCTGAGTGTGCTGAATCTTCGCCAAAGCACGAGTCTCGCGGACGAAAATTAAACTCTGCACGCAACGTGGTGGGCATCAATGACCCGTGCGATGGCGTGCCACCGGACGATTTGCGCCAAAGGTGGGGGTTTGGGGTCGAGCAGCCTTCTTTTTCGGTGCTATCCGAATTCGCTCAGCGGGGCGGAGGCACCTTTGGTTGGTGCCTTGCTCCCGAAGGGGTCACGGAGCCTCCAACTTCTCCCCCAGCCATCGTTGTTGAGCAGTCGAGCAGTGTTGCCGAGGCATTGGAACTCAACAACAGTGACTTTCATCAGCCAGACAACATGGATGACTTGGTTGTTGTGGATGAGTTTATCCTCGAGAATTCTGGAGATTCCAACAGTGAAGCTGATCACGATGGCGGTGATGGACCCGAGGAGAGCGTAGAGATCTGGCATGCACATTCCAGTCCAACTGTTGATCGGCATGCAGGCTCAGCGGAGCATTCTGAAATTCTAGCCAAACGGGACAGCGACGGCACCTCGGCATTAGTTCAGCAAGAATTCGGCGAAGGCCACTCGGGAGATGTAGCCCTGGCAGCCGGTCGACCATCACGGCCTACCGAGCACCACTCCCAGCAAGACGATGTCGTCGTTACTCTTGAAAGAAACGTTTCGGCTGCGACCTCGCGTGATTCAGAAGTATCGCCCGAAAGAACAGAGGCGGCGCAAACGCCGAGGAAAGGAGGCGGCAGCGCAGACGAGGTGCCCGAGCTCAAGCAGTCGAAGGTGACGTTCATGTCGAGCCTGAGCCTAGCGCTGTCACCACAACGTGGGATCCGTGCAAATAATGTTGATGGTGGCAGTGCTGGGGTGGAAGTGGCAGCGGTGGTGACAGCACCGTCTTCTCAGACGGGGCCTCCAGCTACGATGGGCAAGCGAGCAGAAGATGCCGGCAGTCGAGATAAAGATGGAACAGACCCAGCAGCAGCCGGTAGGCATTTCACTATTCTTTGGCATATTTATACAATAGTTTGTGATTATTCATTGAATAAAATCGATACTTACACTTCACGATAATGTCACCTCACAGCCCTTTGTAAGCCCCACTGGTAGCTGAAGGCCTTGCCACGATATGCCAGTCGTGGGGGTTGTTTGACCCTCCATACTTCACCACGCTGGTCAGTGCAGGTTGGCGCTTTGGGGGCGCAAGATCAGTTCGGTTATCACTTTCCATACATGTTAGCCGTGACCGGGAATTAAGCTGTGGTCGCGTGGGTTCAAGGTGTGGCACGCTAAAATTGAGTGACCGCTTCACCCACTTGGTATTTGATGTTTAATAAGTTGAATGTATTTTGGTAAACTGTGGCGCGCAGCAGTTTGCATGCTGTGTGAACGTGCGAGACTGAGAGAAATGTTCCCACTTGATTAACATATACTGTTAATTATAAGTTGTTTCTTTATACATAGTATTTATTGTAAAAGTCAATTATTCCTACTTATTTTTGAACCTATTCAGTTTGGTGCCTTGAAAAGTGTGACATTTGAAAAGCATTTTGTTGTTTTATATTTTATTGGTCGGATGACCTCGACTGCCTACTAACTTTCCGTAAAAAACGTGTCATTTTTTTACGTGAATGGTGTGGAAATATTCCAGGACATAGAGATGTCCAAGTGAAAGTGGCTAGAATATTCATGTCAATGGCACGCAATGCATAAACTTCGTGTTATTCACGTGGTGTGGACACAGGCCCCTTGGAAGATGTTACAAAGAGCATTCTCTCGGGACATCTGCGAGAGGAATTCCCCTGCGCAGCTGCTATGCCACAGCAGAACAGCGGCAGCACCAAAGAGTCGGCACCGGATAGTCCGCCAGACGCGGAAGATGACGGGCCGGAGGAGGGCGAGATCGTGAGTGACACGGAACCCGAAGATATCCCTCGGGACACGCGTGCGCAGGACACCAAGGGGAGCAGCTCCCGGGCTAATTGCACCACTACCGCCGCCGCCTCCCCCGCCAACTCCACCACCACCGCCGTCGTCACCGCCACCGTCGCCAGCGTCGCTGATCGGGCAGCACTTCCCGTGCGCCGCAACAGGGAGCCTGCCAGCCGGTGCAGGAGCGCGTCCGCCAACCCGCGCGGGAACAAAAAGTGGCCCGGAAAATTGTGGCCGAACGGCTACGCCTCCCAGAAGCATGGACGCTTCCCAAATAAGTCGTGCAGGCAGGAGTTCAATCTGCGCAAGAGGTCTCATCTCGGTAAGAACCCACCGACCGGCCCGGCCAAACAAAACGACCGCTCTGAAGTAAACCGTCCCGGGAACAAGAATCGGCAGCCGGAACAAGCGCTGCTGACAATGCAGTCCATCCTGAGCGAGCTGGAGAACGTACGGAAGCTTGTGCATAGCACCTACCCGATCTCGAGTACATATGCACGGGACCCTCCGCTGTTCGAGATCCTGGATTATGCCGAGAAGCAGTCTATCGATACGTTGAACAAGTTCAATTGGCGCGGGCAGGATGGCAGCAAGATGGAGCTGTGTTCCCTGATCAGGAAGTCAATCGGACAGCTGAAAAATAACACGAACTTCGAGAGCTTGTTTTCAGGCCAGAGGCCTCACGAGACGGGAGTGTTGCTCAGGCTGCTGGACACGGAGTTTAACATTTTGTTCAACAACATTCGATACACGCTGTGTCTGCAGCAGCTCGGTAGCAGGCCGCACAATGCGAGCAGGGTGGCAACACACCGTCGGTCTGTGAAATCGATGACTGCGGAACAGTATGGGACGGTGAGCGGCAGAGACGAGCGTGAGCGGCTAACGTCGCCCAAACACGCGGTAGGTGGCAAAGCTTCGGTCGCCACTGCATCGCCTGCTCGGTCTCCGCTCGCTACGACGGGAGTTAACGCCAACCTCAAGGTTTACAAGGTTCCCAAGTGTCCTAATGGTGTCCTCCGATCTCCGGTTGAGCGACGAGACCCTGTTTGCATGCCACCTGTCCAGAGCTCAACTTTACGATCTCCAAACTTGGGCGTCATGTCCGTGAGAGAACCTCAGTCGCAGCTCAAGCGAAAGATGCGTTCGGAGGTGGAGGTTATAAGCGCGCCTGTGAAAAAAGCCACCCCAGTGGGGAAGAGGAGAAGAATTGAACCAGAGGGAAATTGTGACCAAACGGTGAAGGGTTTTAAAAGTGTTGCAGGCGATAGCGACAACCGTGGGAGTGCAGCCGAGAAGAAAACCGAGGCGGTGAGCAGCGGCGGTAAAAGTGGCAGCCGCGGTAGCAGTGGCGGCAGCGGTAACGGTGGCAGCGATGGCCATGGTGACTTTGCACTGGAGGGTGTTGCAGAGGACGTTGAGGCGACGAGCTTGGAGATGGACGAGTGCCCAGTGACGCCCGGTAAGAGCATGTTCGGGCCGGACGCGGACAAAGCGACGGAGCCTCCAGACAGCGCGGAAGCGTCGCGGGTGTCGGATTCGCAGCCGGACGACAACAAGAGTCCCGCCGCGGAAACTCCGCAGGAGCCGCCCCCTCTTCCGCCATGCCCTGCACTTTACCCTTTGCACGGAGTCGAACATGGGGGACCAGCTCAAGTCCCTACTGGGCGTGAATAGGCAGATTGTGACGGAACTGTCCGTGGCCAGATCGCCGGAGGCGCAAGTGACCTACCCTTGCCTCGAGTGCTCGGAGAGCCTCCCGTCTTCGGACGGCGCAGACACGAGCTCTGAGAAATCCAAGCAGTTGAAAAGCCCGGACTCCACCTTTTTCACCTACCACGAAAGCACCAACTGGGTCCCTCCCATCTCGTCCATTTTGCTGGCCGACCTCGAGGTTTCCAACTCCCTGCTCTCTCCTCTGAAGGACAGCTACAGCCTGACCAGCTGTGCGATGGTCGGCGAGAAGATGCCGCTGCCGTCGGACGGCCTGAAGTTTGTGTCGCTGCCCGCAGCATGCTACAGTGAGAACGCGCAGTTTGACGAGGAGGAGTCGGACTTCCACCTCGCGTTGGACACCGAGAGCCCGTCGGAGGACGGCGACTCTGGCCAGAAGTTCTCACCACTCAAGAACAGGGCTCCCAAAGAGGGATTCTTCGAAATCGTCACACACGAGACTCCACAAAGTCAGAAAAGCGGAGAGGCGGACACAGACTTTGGCCTGCATTCGGAGTATGAGGGTGTGTCCAGGAAGTGGCAGGTGCCTTTTGAGGAGGAGTGTGATGGCGGGAAGCCTGTGGAGGAGGCGGAGGTGGCGGAGGAGGAGGAGGCAGAGGAGGCAGAGGAGGCAGAGGAGGCAGAGGAGGCAGAGGAGGCAGAGGAGGCAGAGGAGGCAGAGGAGGCAGAGGAGGCAGAGGAGGAGGCAGAGGAGGAGGAAGAAGAATTGAGTAAGACTCCAGAACCGCACAGCTGTAAACGGCGGCGACACAGCAAATCGCCCGTCACTGCTAAGCAAGATGGAAACAAAAAGAAATGTAAAAAGCCAAGAGCATCCGAGACAAACTTAGTATCGTCACCAGAGTCTGGAAAACATTCCGTCAGACCAGAGTCGCCAACTCGTGGCAGGAAGAAGAAATCATCGATGCCGCCGTCTGCAGAAGAACTCCTGACACCAGCAAAGGGCCATCGACAGAAAAGAAAAAAATCTAAATCAAGGAGTTCATCGGGGACTGTGGTGGAGCTCGGGGAGGAGGCGACATCCTCACCGGGCGAGAAGCCACCGCGCAAGGGCAGGAAACGATCGGGTTGCGATACCTCCCCCGACAAAGTCATCCTGGCGAAGAATGTGGTGAAGAAACACGGGGAGGTGGTGCTGCTTTGGACCAGGTGAGTGCAGCGATGATGGTTTTGTGTGTAAGTGAAAAGTAATTTATTTACAACGACTTTTTGCGTTTATGTTGTTCCACCCTGCCTCGAATCTCCAATTGGCACGGTTGGCTACGTTACGGTGCGAAAGAAGTTCAACATAATGCATGCGTACACACGAAGCAAATGCGGAGAGCTGACTTATATCGTAACATGGTGAAACCAGGAGTGTGGAGCCTCTGGCCCGTGTCTCCTTTTAATTTGGTCCCTTTACTTCATTTCATGCGGCCCGTGGCACGGAGACAATTTTTCCATCACTGCAAGCATCTTGGCTACGCTAATCTTGTACTCGGGGGGGGGGGGGGGGGGGGGGAAGAATGTCTTTGACCTGGCAACACTTTCTAATTTTAGTGCATTTCGGTCACTTCTGTCACTGCACAAACAGCCTCTTGTTCACTTGCCAATTAAAAACTGTCGGTGGCAATTTCCTTAACTTTATGGGAAATTCCAGCATAAAGTGTAATCTCAAACTATCAGTCAATTTTGCGATTATCGCTTTACTTAAAAGATATTTTGATATTGTTAATGGTGACTTCCAAGCGTGAAACTCTCAATGCTGTTTTGCACAATTTTCAGCTTTTGGTCCATTTTTATTTCTTTAAAGATCTATGCCCTCTCTGGACATACAAACCTGTAGCTAACACAAACCTTAAAACTAACACAAACCCAAACACTCATCTAACCTTAACCCTAACGCTTGTCCCAACACTGACCCTGACACGAGTGTCAATCTGACATTAAGATTATCACTAACCCTGCCTAATCTGGACGCTCGCACTCATTCCAACACTAAGCTAACTATAACGCTCCAGTAATCTTACGAGGAACACTAACCCAGCATATTCTTAGGTTTTTTCGGTAAAGTCACGTAGGTAAAATTTTTTAATTTAAATTAATAAAAAAAATAAAAATCACGACGTTTCGGAGGCAACACAAGCTTCCGTCTTTTTTTTTACTTGATACAGCTATCGTGCTGTGACGGTTCCACCTGAAGACGGAAGCTTGTGTTGCCTCCGAAACGTCGTGATTTTTATTTTATTTTACTTTTATTAATTTTAATTTTTTACCTACGTGACTTTACCGAAAAAACCTAAGAATATGAATCCTTGCAGTCACGAAAGCTTCAAATCTAGAACTAACCCAACACGAACCATCCACGAACTGCTGCGCTCTCTCTCTCTCTCACACCCACGCCCGTGCCGCTGCTGCCACCTCGCGACCTCTGTGCCGCTCTATCCTCCGCAGGGACGACGACCGGCTGATTCTGTCGGAGGTGCAGCGTCACGGGGCCTCTCCCGACATCTTCTCCTCCGTCGCTGCGCTGCTCGGTGACAAAACTGGATCTCAGGTCAGTGCCCGCTCCACCACACCGACCTTTGTGTGTTTTTAAATAGGGCACCACGGTGCCGAGATGGTTACTACCTCGTCTGGTATATGGGAGGGTCATGGGTTCAATCCCGATCCTGAAGCCTGTATATTTGGAGTTTTCATGTTCTCCCCGTGGTCGCGTGGATTTTTCTCCGGGTGGTCCGGTTTTTTCCCCTCCACATTTAGACTGAACATGCGTTTAAAGTATTTGTCCGTTCTAAATGTCCAAGTGATACACCACTTTGTTGAGCTACGATTTGTGCCCAGGTTGCTTTTGAAAAAGAGCTAACTTACTGAGTGAGCCATACCTGGTAAAATAATTTTTTTTATAGTTTTGAAATGCTTTCCATTGCTCATTCTATCGTATTGTATCATCAAACATAATTACGCGGCAAACCCCGGTGTGCAGTCATGCGTGTGCGTGAGCCGCACGGAGACATTGCAGTCGCACAGAATCCTCATCTTTATTTATGCTAGGGGAATCCGACGAGGCTATGAAGCTCCTTTTTCACAGATGCCCAAATTTTGATTTAAAGCTTTCGTGACTGCAGGGATTCATCTTCTTGGTTCTTTCGGTAAAGTCACGTAGAAGGGAAATAATAAAATAATAAAAATAAAACATTAAATACAATTCTCACGACGTTTCGGCCACAACGCAAGCAGCCGTCCTCAGGTGACAGCTGCTTGCGTTGTGGCCGAAACGTCGTAAGAATTGTATTTTATTATGTTTTATTTTTATTATTTTATTATTTCCCTTCTACGTGACTTTACCGAAAGAACCAAGAAGAAGATGCCCAAATGATAATTGGTTTTTTACCCTTCTATCTGGCAAGAAAACTGACACCTTTTTTTTAATGGTTTAAATGCTTGCCCCGAGCTCTCATACTCTGATGGTGCATTGTCTTTGAGTTGTGCGACCTTTGGCGTCATCTGGTCCAACCCATGTGAGACTAGGCTCTAAGGAAAGCTGTCTCGGGTGTGGACCAATCAACTTCAAGGACAGTGCATACATCATCAGAGTTATGTTTTTTGTTTGCATTATGACTGCAGGTATTGTGGTCTATGGTCTATGCAAACATGACTCCTTGTAAAAAAAGGTGTCAGTTTTGTTGCCAGATAGAAGGGTAAAAAACCAATTATCATATATTTTTACTGGCAAATGAGGTTCCAATGGTGTAAGATGCCCAAATGTCGCTTGACTCTCACGCTCGCCCCCCCCCCCCCCCCCCCCCCCCCATGTTGTGCGTCGCCTAGGTGTCCCGCAGGTTCCGGGAGCTGCTGAAGCTTTTCCAGAAGGCGGCTGCGGCAGAAAGACTCGCCAACGACAGTGACGCGGTGCAGGAGTCGCACCGCGGATCCTCGCCGCCGCCCGCGGCCCACGCCCCGCGTTGCTGACGACGGCCGATGCAGAGGCAGGCCGTCGCTCGTGCAAGCAGATTCGTTCAATGTCGATATCGGTACTGAAGCAATGGATGCTGCCCATTCACGGTTGTGAATGGTTCGGCGCACGCTCTCGAATTGCAGTCCCCAGGGGCAGAGGTCGCAACCGGGTGCTCGATACCCGTACCCTACCCGTACCCGGCTACCCGTACCCAGCCGGGTATGGGTACGGGTACCCGTTTGCGACCCTGGTGCGGCCGGGTACGGGTACGGGTAGGCCGTGAGTCACTGGTGAGTTACCGTTTGTCACTCATTTCCCAACGTCTTGTCTCTTCTCACAATTCAAGTTCCTAGAATCAACCCACCCGCGCCTGCAACATGGCTTCATCCCAGAGGTCGCAATCGGGTACGGGTATGGCCGGGTACGGGTACCCGTTTGCGACCCTGGTGCGGCCGGGTACGGGTAAGGAATCAAAACCCGTTTGCGACCTCTGCCCAGGGGTCACCGGTTGGAGTCGTCCTCCGGCAATGGCAGTTGAAATCCTCGGTGTGTTTCTTAAATCTCACCGCCTCCGTCCACCCAGCCGTGTATGAATGGGTGCGCCACAGTCGAGCGGGGGGCCGTGTGCGTGGCTGGGTAGATTGTGGCTACTTCGGCCTCTTTCTGGCGAGCCATCTGGTCCTCCTCCGGCAATGGCAGTTGAAATCCTCGGTGTGTTTCTTAAATCTCACCGCCTCCGTCCACCCAGCCATGTATGAATGGGTGCGCCACAGTCGAGCGGGGGGCCGTGTGCGTGGCTGGGTAGATTGTGGCTACTTCGGCCTCTTTCTGGCGAGCCATCTGGCCAGTCGTGAACAAGAAGGCCAAAATAAACCTCAGGAGGCAGGGCGTTGTTAAGTGGTCACCCTTAGTTTGGAGGTGCTTTGGCTACCAGCAGTAGCCTGCATCTTTTACCGTTTTCACAGAGCAATGATACAGGTTCATGTTGGTTGACTTTATTCAGTGTTTGAAGCGTCCAGCGTATGACCCCCCCCTCCCCTGTTAAATAGCATGACTTGTTTGTATACCTTAGGACAGTTTTGTTTTCTAGGTGAAGAGATGCTGCCCTGGAAACGCAGTTTTCAGTGCAAGTCTCAATATTTAATTGAACTTTGTAAGATGTATACAGGGTGGCTCAAGAGGCAGGACACACACTTAATTTATTTTAACACTGGCATTAATACATTTAAATTGTTTATTCTCTAAGTTAATATGCTATATATCTGTTATCATAATTGATATCTAATTTGTTTTTTCCCGTGGGGTCACCGTCATTTACAAAACTCGACCAAGAACCCCCGAATGAATCGAAACGACAAAATTGTGAAATGTTCAAAGAGCACGCCTGTAATATTTGTAAAAATAAAGCCCTCAATTCGTTTCAAAACATGATTCACGCATGCATTGATGTCGATGGAAGTCAGTTTGAACGTATGTTAAAAGCAATTAAATAATATGTAATATAAACTAAATATATAATAGCCCAGTGTGTCCTGAGTTTTGGGCCATGCTGTATAAAGTTTCACATCAGTCACAGTTATCCCACTTTGATGTAGGGGTGTCGGAGTTTCTAATGATCCAGCGATGTAGCCCACTTGACACCACCACACGAGTTGCTGTATAGAGCTCACTCTCGAATGTTCGTAGATGGATTGTCTGGGTTTGTGGGTTTAACGGGGCTTGAGAAACATTAATATATTTTTACACACGCACTGTCTGTTATTAGCTGCTCCTCATTGAGTGTCAGTGCCTACGTTTGAGCGCAGACATGTCAGTGAGAGAACCATTTACTTAAAGAAGGAATTACATCTATATGAGGTAAGAATAAAAACAGCCGAGGCATGTTACGTCTACGCCCAGTTACTGAACCGTAATTGGGAGAAGTTATGAATTGTGGCCGGCAGAGTTACTGAAGACATTTGGAAAGACGTCGAGTCAACAGTTTTCTTGACACTGCTGAAAAGCAATGCTCTGGATATTTGCACTTTATGGCGGTCACCCCGAGGTACCATAGTACCCCGGCTCTCGCATAATGACCGTGATGCAGACACTTTTGGTCTGTGTTGATGGTCCGGCGATGCGGCAATCGACTCATCTCGGACGAGCTGTACTCACGATGCACCGCCTACGGTGCGTACCGAGCGTTCAGGGTTTCGGCGCAATCGTCCTCGCTGCGTTTTGACATCGCAGAGTAGCACCGATTACGGATTGATTGGTACCCCAGTCGCGGAGTTGAGTACACCCCTGGAAAAAAGAGTGTCCCAGAAATAAAATATTTAATTGCCTCGGCCATTTAGTGTTATTTGGTACCACGGGGTACCGACATGAGGATCATTTGCCCCCGTTTGATTTATTGGGGCCACTATGCCCACACCCCTCCTCCCCATTACCCTGGCTAATTGAGAATTGACGACATACATGTGTATTCTTGGTTCTTTCGGTAAAGTCAGTCGAAACGTCGTGAGAATTTTATTGTTTTATATTTGTATTATTTTATTGTTTTTCCCTTCTACGTGACTTTACCGAAAGAATCAAGAATATGAATCCCTGCAGTCACGAAAGCTTTAAATCAAAATTTAAAATGAATAGATGTGGTTCAACTTAAGGTGGTTGTGAGTTTTATCTCGAATGGGTTTGGGATTTTCACATTTAATGACCATTAAAGTGTCTAATGTTATTATAATTTATGTATTTGATTGCATAGTCACGATTGTTAGTTATGCATTGTTTGCAGTTCCTTGAAGTTAAAATAATAATCTTGATTTGAAGCTTTCGTGACTTCAGGAATCCATACTCTTTGGCTCTTTCGGTAAAGTCACTTAGGTAGAAAATGAAATAAATCACGACGTTTCGGGCGCAACACAAGCGTCCGTCATCAGGTGGGAAAGCATAAAAGAATAAAGCAAGTTTAATTTTCTGTAGCTTAGAGAAAAGCTACGTGCTTTAGCATTTCATTGTATGTGTACATTCAGGATGAATGGAAAGTCCCTTCATAAGTTTGATGTCATTTTGTGGAAAAGTTATATATTTGTTTATTCTGTCGGTTTAATGTGGAATGGATGAAACAATTCGTTTTCTTTGCTGGGAGGTGAGACCTCTGAGAATACGCAAGTGGATTGAAACATTTTAATGCACCGGTAGTGGTTTTTTTTAAGTATTCTGCTTGACGTTTAGGGTCACAAAATGTATGGATTTCACATTCCGGGTCACTTAGTTACACAACTAAAGAGAGAAACGTGACAAAACTCGGATATTACCAAATGTGTCCTGCAGAGTTACTGAAGAAATTGTTGCTGGACGTTTAGCGCAACCTTTTTTGAGATACGAAAGTGAACAACAACAAAAAGAACATCCGGTCATGAGTGCAGAATAGGACTTGGTGGGGGTGGGACCCTTCCCATTACTTCTAGATTTGAAGCTTTCGTGACTGCAAGGATTCATACTATTAGTTCTTTTGGTAAAGTCACGTAGGTAAAAAATGAAATTAAAATTAATAAAAATAAAAATCACGACGTTTCACTTGATGCAGCAAATCTGGCTGTGACGGTCCCACCTGATGACGGAGACTTGTGTTGCCTCCGAAACGTCGTGATTTTTATTATTTTATTTGTATAAATTTTTATTTAATTTTTTACCTACGTGACTTTACCGAAAGAACTAATAGTATACCTTCCCATTACATTTGTGGAGCCGCCAACACACGGACATGCACATACATAGAAACACGCTTTTTCCCGTGTCGAAAATATTCCCATCCTCCCTACCCAATGAGTGGGGATAAAAATGCAGTGATGGATACATATAACTTGCGGGCCATTTCTAAATGGTAGGCCTCATGTTGTTGCCACTGGCCGCTTGACGTGAACCTGCTCATCTTATTTGACCCATTGGATCTCTGCGTACGGTGTAGACGTTGGCAGACACGAGTGCATGATCATTTGAATTTTTTCTCAAAATAGTTCATTTAAAGCAATGTAGGGACTTTACTAGAAGCGTGTGTACACAGAAACCATATTCTTGAGATGCCAGAGAAGTAATGCTTTGGATATTTACTCCAGTTTTGGCGAGCGGGAGGGGGGGGGCTGATGTTGGCTTGCATGGTGTTTTCACGTGTGTCAATACGGTGTCCTTTGTGTTGTCCAGCCTTCCTTAATAGTCGATTTTTAGAAACATAGAGTGTGCATTAAGGTGTGCTCCTAGGCCAAAACCATCACTTTACTGATGAAACATCTCTCCCTGCTGGTGCTTCTCTGATTGTGGTGGCAAGCGATGATTGAGTCGTGGTTTTATGTTGGTTGTTACATGCTGGTGCTGGTTTTATGATGGTTTGCACGATGATTTCTGTGTGGTGTGAAATGTGTTTTTTTTGACCAGGTAAAGGCCACTGAGATATTCGCTATTTTTCAGAGGGCGACCTGGCTCCACATGAGATTTCTCATCTACATTGCTTATATCATCATCATTGCACGTGGGAACTTGTAGCCTCAGCCAAATAGGCACCGTCAGGATCCAGGAGAGAACCCCCGTGACCTCCTGCGTACAGAGCATTGGAGATAGCATCTCGCCACCACCACGACGCATGGTAGTTGTATGCTGATTGTTGCAGGATGGTGGTATGGTGTTGCTTGTGGAATGCTGTTATGTATGTATGGAAAACATTGGAACCGTATGTAACCAATCATGCTAATTGGAGGCACGGGGGCAGGACAAACTTAACACAAAGTAGTTCTAAAGAAATGAGTTTTCAATCTAGATGTATGATTGTATGGTGATGCGTGGTGGTTGGTGATTGTTGCTTGATGTTCGAGTGATGGTGGTACATGGTTGTTGGTGTGGTGCATGGTGTATTTGGAGTGATTGTGTGGTTATTGCATGGTGGTATGCGGTGGTTGGGTGCTGTGGTAGTGCTGTAATGGTTGTAACGTTTGCCACTCTTTCTCACAATTGTCATTCGCCGCGAGGTGTGTGTGTGTACAAAAGCAGCATTGTGTGCACTGGTTAGTGGCCATATTACCAAGATACCTAATGCCCGATAGGATTGATCAATAATTTATTTTTTACATCAGTTGTACAGGTCATATTTTTTGTGTATACTGTATATATATAACTTCAGTGCCCTTGCAGTTGTGAATACAGGGTATTTGTAAATTAGTTGCGTCTTGGCTCGTTTTTAAATCCTTTATATTAAGTTCGCTTGCTTGCTTAGGACCGCGCAAATCTTTCGGTCGTTTTTTAACCCACTTCCCGTGATCCAATCAAGCTGACATTTTCCACACAGACTCGTTGTGCGTGACAATTAATGTTCGTGAAAATTTTTTTCCAAAATTGTACACTTTTTAGGACAAAAATATTATATTTAATTACCAATTGCTTAATGTGCAATGCAATCATCTGACCCATAGGTGGCAGCCATCTCAAGCCAGAGGACGAGAGGACTCTAGCCGCCACGCATATAAAGGATTTATAGTGGAAAAACTTTGTTTTTACTGGTTATACTTATTTTTATTTTAACACATGCCTTCATCTTTTAAACTAGGTCTGTTCAGGTCGAAGTCCCGGAAACATTTTTTCGGCCGACCTACACCACACCCAGTGTATGCAGTACCTCTCGTTCTGGTTATGGCTCCGAGTCGATTCACGGACCTTCCCCAAACCGACCCGCGACCCATGGGAATATTAACTGCGGGTTGTGCGATGGTGGGACACGTAGACGCGGTAGCACAGAAGTATTGTATAACAATGTCGCGGTGACCTGGCCCAGCGATAGCGCCCTCGCCGCTTGTTGCGAAGGTTCGCGGGTTCGAAATACAGCGGCTGCCCTGGTTATTATCGTGGGGGGTATCAAGCGTAATCCGCGCCCTCTGCTTCAGAGTGGACGTTAAAGATCTCCCGTGACATCGTGGAATTCTCTACCATATTCTTGGTTCGTTCGGTAAAGTCACGTAGAAGGGAAACAAAATAATAAAACATAATAAAATTCTCACGACGTTTCGGCCACAACGCAAGCAGCCGTCCTCAGGTGAAGAAACAGCTGTCGGAAAGACAGCGTCTTAATGAGCACTGCCAAGCTTGGCAGCTGGGTGGGAGGAGGAGACAGCCTCTTTCCGACAGCTCTGTTTCTTCACCTGAGGACGGCTGCTTGCGTTGTGGCCGAAACGTCGTGAGAATTTAATTATATTATGTTTTATTTTCATTATTTTATTATTTCCCTTCTACGTGACTTTACCAAAAGAACCAAAAATATGAATCCCTGCAGTCACGAAAGCTTTAAATCGAAAATAATTCCCTACCGTTGTAAATTCGTTTATCCTATGTGGCTACTTTTAATTCTCGTCTTAAAATACATATTTTTAAAGTCGGTTTATTCTTTTCTTTGGTTCTTTCGGTAAAGTCAAGTAGAAAGAAAAATCAGTTAAATAGTTTTTTTCAGTATATTCTATTTAGCTTCACCTCTCTTGGCCCTTATTCTTACAAGGCGCCTTGAGACATTAGTGGGAACCACCTTCCAAATGTAAACTATTGTTTCGATTTAAAGCTTTCGTAACTGCAGTGATTCATCTTCTTGGTTCTTTCGGTAAAGTCACGTAGAGGGGAAATAATAAAATAAAGAAAATTAAACAAAAAAATATTTTATTATGTTTTATTTTTATTGTTTTTTTATTTCCCTTCTACGTGACTTTACCGAAAGAACCAAGAAGATAAACTATTGTTATTGACAAGAGCAGGTCATGGTATTGTCGGCTGCGTCAAGGTAAAACTTTTAAAAGGGAGGGAAAAACCCCCCATTGCTCATTTAAGATTATAGATAGCAACCATCAACCCCGACTGTGAAAACTTGGCAGGATCCTCCTGAAAAAGTCAGGGTTGATTCTTTAATGGGTAAACAAGCGTCGATATATACAACTTTATTTTATTGTGGTTTTTCTGTACTGCCAACTACGTAGCCTTGCAGCCTGGTGGCCCAACACTGAGACACGATGCAGGATCAAGGCTGGTTTGTATATTGGACTTCTTTCGCACCGTACGACGCCAACCGTAACCGTGTTAATCAAAGTTGCGGGGGGAAGGGCAAACTAAAATACAAAACGCGGTTCTAAAGAAAACACATTCCTGTGGAGGGAGCTGGTAGGAACGTGTTGGGTTGCTCGGTCAATGGCCAGGGTCAACAGCGGCGTGGTGTATTCCGCAAATATGCCTGACTGTGAGGGCGGGCACAAGCCGGCGTGAGTAGGTTAAACGTTGAGTTTTATAAGGGTACCACGGGGTGACCAACCCCTCCCCACCCAGCCCCTCCCTGCACGACGGACACAATAATCCCCTGTGGGCTGGTGTAACCAGGAGGTTCCTACAGGTATAAACACTGAACTGGAGAATCCAACAGGCTGATGGATTAAACGCGTATTTTGGACGCATACGTGGAGGGCTCAAAAAGGAATTGTGCTTATATTTGCCGATCAACTTTACAATTGAGACAGCCGTCGTTATTATAAACCAACACGGCCCGTGTTTACACTGACAATGCTGTGGATGGAAACATCTCCATAAACCCCTCTAATTATGGATAATATTCGGTCGCAAAAGCCAACGACTTCGCGTAAAAACCGAGGACGCATCACATTTTTAAAACGCGTTATTTTGCTCCACCCCCCGCCCCAATCCCCCGCGAGCACCCGTAACACGTGGACACTCGACTGCGATCAGCTGATGGCGTCACCGGGCATCCCCACGTTGAAGCAGGTCGGGGGGAAACGTTCAGGGGACGTTCGGAGGACGTTCGCGGCGGCACTTATTGACGGTGGCACGCGGGTTGACGTGCAGCGGTTTGCTAATCCACTGCTGGATGAACGCCTCCCCACTTGGGCCGTCCAGAGGAACCTCCTAATGAGGTTATCCTGCACCTCGAGAATATCGCGTCTTGCCGGGACGTTGAAAGTTCCGCAGTCTTTTTTGAAGGGCAAGTTGCGTTCCCCACCGTGACGGTATATTTCTGATGTGTTATAATGAATCACCGTTACCAAGTGGCCCACGTTTGTTGCTGTTGTTGTATCTCAAGGTAGCACGGACCACACCGCAGCCACGGCCGATCGGTTCGAGTTGGTGGAAGCGAGAGAGCAGACGTTAGAGGAGCATAGAAGTAGGGTACAGCGGTGGAGTTTTGCGGGCCAACCCCCCCCCCCCCCCAACTGTATTGGCCCCCCCACCAAAGGGGCCCGGGGCCACCCCCGCCCCCATCCGAAGCCTTCAAACCAAAAGTCGCAAACGGGTTTTGATTCCTTACCCGTACCCGGCCGCACCAGGGTCGCAAACGGGTACCCGTACCCGGCCGTACCCTACCCGTACCCGGCCGGGTACGGGTAGGGTACGGGTATTGGGTACCTGATTGCGACCTCTGGGATGAAGCCATGTTGCAGGCGCGGGTGGGTTGATTCTAGGAACTTGAATTGTGAGAAGAGACAAGACGTTGGGAAATGAGTGACAAACGGTTACTCACCAGTGACTCACGGCCTACCCGTACCCGGCCGCACCAGGGTCGCAAACGGGTACCCGTACCCGGCCGGGTACGGGTAGCCGGGTATCGGGTAGGGTATCGGGTACCCGGTTGCGACCTCTGCTTCAAACTAAACCGGACGCATGAAACACAAGAATAGGTTTTACCCTTTCCAGCAGTAAAACAAGAGTTGCGTTTAGACGTTCAAACACCGAACAGAAACCTTTTGCAAGAAATCAAGTTACTGCATTGACTACACTACTAGTGTTGAACATGCAAACAAAGCACGCTCTGATTATAATCTATGCATTTCAATGATCGCCTTTTGGCGTTTTTTTAAAAATCTGGTCTGACTGGTAGTGAGATGAGGCCCTAAAGAAGGCTTCTGTCTCTCTGGTGTAGGTTAATTAGTTTCGAAGACAATACACAGATTGAGAGTTTCCAATAACACCACGAGAAATTCGCTGCCTCCGTGCTCTGGAGACCACCTGGGGAAGATTCCAGGCACGCGTTGGCAATGATGATGAAACAAGTGGAGACTGACTTTTTGAAGCTATTTGTTATCATGTCACTGTGTGTTAATTGTTCTTTTCCCATTAAAAACGATAATCCCATTTAAGTGTTAACATTTTCAAATCCTTTATATTAAGTTCGCTTGCTTAGGACTGTGCAAATCTTTCGGTCGTTTTTTAACCCACTTCCCGTGATCCAATCGAGCTGACATTTTGCACACAGACTCGTTGTGCGAGACAATTAATGTTCGTGAAAATTTTTTTTCAAAAATTTTACACTGTTTAGGGAAAACAAATTAAATATTTAATTACCAATTGCTTAATACTGGCAGACAATCATCTGACCCATAGGTGGTAGCCATCTCAAGCCAGAGGACGAGAGGACTCTAGCCGCCCCGATGCCACGCATATAAAGGATTTATCGTGAAAAACTTTGTTTTTACGGGTTTACTTGTTAAATCCTTTATATTAAGTTTGCTTGCTTGCTTAGGACCGTGCAAATCTTTCGGTAGTTTTTAGCCCATTTCCAGTGATCCAATCGAGCTGACATTTTCCACACAGACTCGTTGTGCGTGACAATTAATGTTCGTGAAAAAAAAATCCCAAATTTTACACTTTTTAGGACAAAAATATATTTAAGGTGCAATGCAATCATCTGACCCATAGGTGGCAGCCATCTCAAGCCAGAGGACGAGAGGACTCTAGCCGCCACGCATATAAAGGATTTATAGTGAAAAACTTAGTTTTTACGGGTTATACTTATTTTAAGCACCCTGTAGTGATCATCGTAGCGGTGGTCTCGTTGGGCTGAGCCTCGGTACCTGCGGTGTTGGACCCCCTTCCCTCCACACCCCGCAGTTTCTTCACCGGCAGAGAGTTCTCTCCCTGTACCGAGCGATGCTGAGAGCCATCCGCCAGGTGCCCGACCGCCACTACCAGGTGTACCTGCAGGAGTCGGCGCGGCGCGAGTTCAAGATGAACAAGGAGGAGACGAACGAGGTGAATAGACAGGCCGTGGGCTTTAATCATCATCGTCGTCGCCTTACTCCGCACGGACCATCGGATTGTCATCGTCATCATCGATGCACTTGGCTCCAGCATTTACTGAACACCGTTTTTCCAATGCCTCCGCCAGCATCGATTTACTCGGCATCGCTCAACAACATTTGCCAGTAACCTCCATGAACATCATTGTCTTTCTCGTAATTTATCATTCGATCATCATCGTTGTCAATACCGTGATGAAGAGTGTGAAAATTGGAATGGGATCCATTTTATTTAAATCGTTGCACCGGGGCCCATGCTAACCACACTACACCAAAGATAAAGATCCCCGTATAGCCTTGACCTACTGTTGGGGCAAGAGCTGTTAGCGAGTAGCACCTACGAAGGCTGGCACGGCACACGAGGGGGTGGGTGGCCAGCACCATGCCCGGCCGCCTATGTCTCACCAGTGGCGATGTTTACACACCGCACCAGGTAATAATTTGAGGCTGAGTCGACCTAGGAGAGGCCCAGGACCGGTTCAGATAATTTGTCACTGGTGTTGGCAATGAGCAGGAATCGAACTCGGGTCTCCAGGTTCGTAGCACAGCGCGCTAACCACTGCATTACCGCTCCCGACACTACACCACCCAGACCACCACCACCACCCAGACCAGCACCACCACCACCACCCAGACCACACCACCCAGACCACCACCACCACCACCCAGACCAGCACCACCACCACCCAGACCAGCACCACTACCACCACCACGCGGTGATTGCCATTAACAGGCAAGTCACCCTGTGCTATTGAACCGACATCGTTGTTATCATTGTTGTTATCATCATCGTTGTTATCATCATCATTGTAATGGAAGACTCACGGGTTGAGTGAGTTGAATATCCCGTAACCATTCAGGCCCATCACCTGCGGCGAGTCGATTAATTATCGTGATCCGATTCAGCAACGTATTATTTTCGTCTAATTTTTATGTACGTACGATGAACTTCTCTCGCACCGTACGTAGCCAACCGTGCTAATCGTAAGTGCGGGGGAAGGACAGCAAAACACTGTCTCGTTTGCATTGTTGCTACATTTTCGTCGTCGCGTTCGTTTTTTGTTCGCTCCCGACACTTGCGTGCGCGAGCATCCCACGAGAATCGACGGCGATCGCCAAGCCCACGATGCCATCGCACCATGCCTGGGGAGATGACCTGGGGAGATGACCTGGGGAGATGACCTGGGGAGATGACCTGGGGAAGATGACCTCCGTCGTTGACCTCCGTCGGTGTCCGGCGCGTTTAACAGCGGTGGCGTGCGCACTCCGTGCAGGACGCGGTGAGGATGGCGATGACTCGGGGGAACGCGCAGCTGAAGGAGCTCCAGAAAATCATCCGCCTCTCCAAGTGAGCGACCGGTGGAGGTGGCACGGTGGGTGGGGGGGAGGGAACGCCTGCGGCCCCACCACGACGGGACGTCGCGATGTCCTCCCGGCCCACGTGGCGCGTTGACGAGATCGTGACTCCGAAGCGGTGGGCGGGGGAGGCCACAGGAATTGACGATGTGGACACCGTTTTTTTTTCACTCTCAACAAGTCACCGCCAGGAAAACGTTAATAATGGACCCCAAAGCGAGCGAGCTGAGAACAAGCACCACCAATGAAGTCAACATTGCCGGACTATTTTTCGATTTAAAGCTTTCGTGACTGCAGGGATTCATCTTCTTGGTTCTTTCGGTAAAGTCACGTAGAAGGGAAATAATAAAAATATAAAAATAAAACATAATAAAATAATTCTCACGACGTTTCGGCCACAACGCAAGCAGCCGTCTTCAGGTGGAGAACAGGTCTGTCGACTAATACATTGCGAGGTCGCACTGATCACACTGGTCTACAACTTTTTGAGACGTCGTCTGCTTTAGAGATTAAATGTGCTGTTTATTATGGATGTTGATGTGCTGAATTCAGATATGACAATTAAACAACGGATCGGCTCCTGATCCCAAGATATTAAAGTTTTTACATTTTAAGTCGATGTATATTGTGTAGATAGTCGAGTTTTACTCACAAATTGTAAACCTGGGTCTTTCCATGTGTGCTTTACATGATAACATGTCACCCTGTCCTGTTCATGTAACACTTAAAAAAATCAGCAAAAGGGTTATATAAATAACATTTATTATGAAACAAAAGAAAACAACTATAACGTATCTATAAGTACATAGTTTAGCCATTATTCAGTGTCTACTCGGCGCTGCTTGGCTTGTCTCTTGTATTCAGTAAATGGAGCGTCTCTTGTCACTGTCCAGCATTAGTCTGCAAGCATTGATGGGCTCCTTTTGCCCTGAGAGCGTTTCTCCATTGTCGCAATGTCCTGGTGACATCGCTCGCCATGCTCGTCGCTCGCTGCTCCGCAGTTCGGTGGGAAAAAATTTCGATAAGAGTGCAAACAATGTATCTTTAGTGACATGTTGCAACCAAGGCTTTTGTATGCCTTGAGGTTTTCCACCAACTCCCTGTAGTTGTCTGCTTTGTTGTTTCCGAGAAAATGTGTTGCCACTAACTGGAAGGCGTTCCATGCCGTCTTTTCCTTGCCACGCAGAGTGCACCGTCAAATGCATCGTCTCGAAGAAGTTCACAAATCTGGGGACCGACAAAGACACCTTCCTCTATCTTAGCTTCACTTAACCTTGGAAATTTTCCACGGAGGTACTTGAAAGCTGCTTGTGTTTTGTCCATGGTTTTGACAAAGTTCTTCATCTGACCCAGCTTGATGTGGAAGGATGGTAACAAAATCTTCCTTGATTCAACAAGTGGTGGATGCTGAACACTTTTCCTCTCAGGCTCCAATGACTTTCGGAGTAGCCAATCTATCTTGATGTGGTGGGAATCTCTCGCACGACCATCCCATTCACAGAGAGAACGCTGTCTCCCCGACAGACCTGGTCTTCACCTGAGGACGGCTGCTTGCGTTGTGGCCGAAACGTCGTGAGAATTATTTTATTGTTTTAATTTTATTATTTTATTATTTCCATTCTACGTGACTTTACCGAAAATACCAAGAAGATGAATCCCTGCAGTCACGAAAGCTTTAAATCGAAATTTAGAACAGCAGTACTTTGTGTATCCAGACTTACAGACCAAGCAAGAGAGCAACAACCTTCAAATCGCCACAAAGCTGCCACTGATGTTGGTCATAGTTTATGCACCGCAAAAGTTGTTTCATGTTGTCATAGGTTTCCTTCATATGGACTGCCTGATCAACTGGAATTGATGGCAGCAAAAGACTGAAAGCCTCCAGTAGAGGGTTTATTTGGGGGGGGGGGGGGGGTTAGATCGCGTAAATATATAAATGTGTCGTTAAAACCCGCCACCACCCGACACGGCCAACTAGTTTGACACGTCGGCTTTCGCGACCAATATTCATAAGAATGGTTTTTGGGTTAGATCGCGTTATTTATAAATGTGTCGTAACCCTCCACCACCCGACACGGCCAATCAGTAAAAAAAAGTGTCACGTTGACAAAAGACAAAATAGTTCACTACTTTAGCCCACCGGTGTGTTGAATGAATCCACAACATTTACAATTTTTTAGTACGACGTTTCGTCGGTAACTAAAACCGGCTTTGTTCTTTGCCTTCGAAATCAATTAACGGAATCTCGATTTCGCTCCCTAATCCGAGCAGCAGCACCAGCAGCTTTCCCATTCGTGACAGCCGCGGATTAAGAGGCAGCTACGGGGGAGGAGGGGGCACACCGGAGACTCGGCGATAACGATATTAAATAGTTCCACGATTCGTGACGATTATCGCGATATCGATTGTACTATACTGGACTGGACTATACTGGACTGTCCTGGGCTGGACTCTACTGGACTGAAGACCCGGAGCAGAAACGGAGGTGCGTTTTTATTTAATTTTATTTTACAGAGAGAGGCGGGCAATCACGGGCAAGAACATCGCACGGAAGATGCAGCTAATTATCTCTTTACACCGATGGACAATTAACACTGGTAGGAACCTCCTGGTTACACCAGCCCACAGGGGATTATTGTGTCCATCCGTCCGTCGTGCATCCAAAAATGGGACGGGTGGGGCTGGTTGGAGAGGGGAGGGTGGGGAGGGGCTGGGTGGGGAGGGGCTGGGTGGGGCTGGATGGGGGGGATGGGAGGGGTGGAGAGGGGAGGGTGGGGAGGGTGGGGAGGGTGGGGCTGGATGGGGGGGTGGGAGGGGTGGGGCTGGGTGGGGAGGGGCTGGTCACCCCGTGGTGCCCTTATAAGACTCAACGTTTAACCTACTCACGCCGGCTTGTGCCCGCCCTCGCAGTCGGGCATATTTGCGGAATACACCACGCCGCCGTTGACCCTGGCCATTGACCGAGCAACCCAACGTTCCTACCAGCTCCCTCCGCAGGAATGTGTTTAAGAATACCCCCACACGCGCATGCGGTGCGACTGCGATCGAGAATCTCAAACCATGGCCACACAGAGTAAGGACGCCACTTTGCCCGCTTGCAGCATTCGCCGGCAGCGATCCTGATAGTCCCCCAAGCAACTCCTGGAAGCCGTCAGCTGTGTCTCCACTCGCCCACCTCGGCGTGGACACAGACACGCGCTTATTTCTGATCGACGAAGGAAGCCACTGGCAGCGATGAACTTTTAAGCGATCTCGGTTGGAAACTCATTTCTTTGCAACTGCAATTTTGCGTAAAAGGTTTGGTTGTCACCATTGGAACCTCATTTGCCAGTAAAAAATATGATAATTGGTGTAAATGCTTACCCCGAGCTCTCATACTTTGAAGGTGCATTGTCTTTGAGTTGTGCGCCTTTTGGCGTCATCTGGTCCAACACCATGTGAGACTAGGCTCTTAAGGAAAGCTGTCTCGGGTGTGGACCAATCAACTTCAAGGACAGTGCACATACATTATCAGAGTTATGTTTTTTGTTTGCATTATGACTGCAGGTATTGTGGTCTATGCAAACATGACTCCTCGTAAAAAAGGTGTCAGTTTTGTTGCCAGATAGAAGGGTAAAAAAACAATTATCAGGTTTGGTTGTCCTTCGCGCGCTCCTCCGATTAGCGCGGCTGGCAACGTACGGCGCGAAAGAAGTTCAGCATGCATACGGACACACGACGGGGGAATAGGCGGAGGCAAACAACGAATGCCTTGAGCCTGACGCTGGAACAAGGGGCACAGGGCCCCGAGAGCATGGACGGCTGGCTGGGGGAAGGGAGCTCAATGTTATGGGGGGAAGCGAGAAGAATGGGCGACCGAGCGAAGGTTGAACGGGGGGTTTCAACGGAAAGACTTGGAGTGAGATGAGAGGGGAGAGGCAGGAGAGTCCGTGGAGGGGAAAGTAGAGTGAGATGAGAGGGGAGAGGCAGGAGAGTGCGTGGAGGGGAGTAGAGTGAGATGAGAGGTAGGAGAGTGAGTGGAGGGGGAGTAGAGTGAGATGACAGGGGAGAGGTAGGAGAGTGCGTGGAGGGGTGTAGAGTGAGATGAGAGGGGAGAGGCAGGAGAGTGCGTGGAGGGTAGTAGAGCGAGATGATAGGGAGAGGTAGGAGAGTGCGTGGAGGGGAGTAGAGTGAGATGAGAGGGGAGAGGTAGGAGAGTGTGGAGGGGAGTAGAGTGAGATGAGAGGGGAGAGGTAGGAGAGTGCGTGGAGGGGTGTAGAGTGAGATGAGAGGGGAGAGGTAGGAGAGTGCGTGGAGGGGAGTAGAGTGAGATGAGAGGGGAGAGGTAGAAGAGTGTGGAGGGGAGTAGAGTGAGATGAGAGGGGAGCGGTAGGAGAGTGCGTGGAGGGGAGTCGAGTGAGATGAGAGGGGAGAGGCAGGAGAGTGCGTGGAGGGGTGTAGAGTGAGATGAGAGGGGAGAGGTAGGAGAGTGTGGAGGGGAGTAGAGTGAGATGAGAGGGGAGAGGTAGGAGAGTGCGTGGAGGGGTGTAGAGTGAGATGAGAGGGGAGAGGTAGGAGAGTGTGGAGGGAAGTCGAGTGAGATGAGAGGGGAGAGGCAGGAGAGTGCGTGGAGGGGAGTAGAGTGAGATGAGAGGGGAGAGGTAGGAGAGTGCGTGGAGGGGAGTAGAGTGAGATGAGAGGGGAGAGGTAGAAGAGTGTGGAGGGGAGTAGAGTGAGATGAGAGGGGAGCGGTAGGAGAGTGCGTGGAGGGGAGTCGAGTGAGATGAGAGGGGAGAGGCAGGAGAGTGCGTGGAGGGGTGTAGAGTGAGATGAGAGGGGAGAGGTAGGAGAGTGTGGAGGGGAGTAGAGTGAGATGAGAGGGGAGCGGTAGGAGAGTGCGTGGAGGGGAGTCGAGTGAGATGAGAGGGGAGAGGCAGGAGAGTGCGTGGAGGGGAGTAGAGTGAGATGAGAGGGGAGAGGTGGGAGAGTGTGTGGAGGTGAGTAGAGTGAGATGAGAGGGTAGAGGTAGGTGAGTGCGTGGAGGGGACTAGAGTGAGATGAGAGGGGAGAGGCAGGAGAGTGCGTAGAGGGGAGTAGAGTGAGATGAGAGGGGAGAGGTAGGAGAGTGCGTAGAGGGGAGTAGAGTGAGATGAGAGGGGAGAGGCAGGAGAGTGCCTGGAGGGGAGTAGAGTGAGATGAGAGGGGAGAGGCAGGAGAGTGAGTAGAGGGGAGTAGAGTGAGATGAGAGGTAGGAGAGAGCGTGGAGGGGAGTAGAGTGAGATGAGAGGGGAGAGGTAGGAGAGCGCGTGGAGAGGTAGTGGAGGTGACTCACTATTTTGAAGGAGGTGAGTGAATTGTCGGCTAAAGTCGCCAACAGCAACGCAACTTGACGTGCGCCATCGTGACCCCCCCCCTTCCCCGTGACCTCCCCTCCCCCTCCGGCTTTAGTTGGGGGATCGTTAAAATACACGGGGGGGGGGGGGAGCAGGGGGAGCGACAAGCTCATGATCGCAGTGGAGAGCTCAGGGGTGAGGGGGCCGAGCGGGGGGGCGGGGGGCACGGAGCCCCCCAGCTGCGGTGACCCAACGCCACCCCCCCCCCTCCCCGCTCCACCCCCCTCGTTCCTTGTCGCACGGCCACGCGGCGGGAGGGCGGCAGAGGTCGCAACCGGGTACCCGATACCCGTACCCTACCCGATACCCGGCTACCCGTACCCGGCCGGGTACGGGTACCCGTTTGCGACCCTGGTGCGGCCGGGTACGGGTACGGGTAGGCCGTGAGTCACTGGTGAGTAACCGTTTGTCACTCATTTCCCAACGTCTTGTCTCTTCTCACAATTCAAGTTCCTAGAATCAACCCACCCGCGCCTGCAACATGGCTTCATCCCAGAGGTCGCAATCGGGTACCCGTACCCTACCCGTTACCCGGCCGGGTACGGGTAGCCGGGTATCGGGTAGGGTACGGGTACCCATTTGTGACCCTGGTGCGGCCGGGTACGGGTAAGGAATCAAACCCCGTTTGCGACCTCTGGTGGGCGGGCGCGGTTGGCTACGTACGGCGTGCCAAGGAGGTTCGACGCACGCACATCGGGACCTGGCACAGGAGGTCGGACTCGGAGAGTTCCTCCCCGGACGGGTCTCCGGGAGTCCAAGGTCACCGAACAGCCCACAAATATGATAATTGGTGTTTTACCCTTCTATCTGGCAACAAAACTGACACCTTTTTTTACAAGGAGTCATGTTTGCATAGACCACAATGCCTGCAGTCGTAATGCAAACAAAAAAAGGTGTCAGTTTTGTTGCCAGATAAAAGGGTTAAAAAAACAATGATCATATTTCAGCCCACAAATGTTTGAACTTTTCGGGTCTCGAGCATCGGCGGGTCCCGCGAATCCGCGAGGAAGTCCTTCGGTTTCGGCGCCGGCGAGTTCCGCGGTTGCCGGGCCCCGCACCTCCGTGTCCGCGGGAAGTCCTTGGAGTTCAACATCCCTCGAGCTGCGTGGTTTGCGAGTGGAGCCACTGCAGCCCCAGGGTGCTTGGAGCTCCACAGTCGTGGAGTCTCGGAGATTTCAGAGTCCCACATCTCCGGGTGCTCGAGTCGCAGGGGGTCCCACGAGTCCGAGATTGTCCAACGTCTCCCTCCGCGCTCTCAACTGGCTACCCATCGCCAGTAGGGTCACATACAAGACCGCCTGCCTCTGCCACAATGCCTTCATATCCGCCTGCCCGCCATACCTTTCTTCATTATTGACAACTTGCAGCTCAGCACACGGCAGATGCCTGCGCAGCGCGACTCACGACCTCCTCTTGATACCAAGATCCAGGATGGTCACGTCCACGGATCATGTAGCCCCGCCCACTGATCATGTAGCCCCACCCACTGACCATGTAGCTCCGCCCACGGATCATATAGCCCCGCCCATCGATCATGTAGCCCCGCCCACCGATCATGTAGCCCCGCCCACTGATCAGGTAGCCCCACCCACTGACCATGTAGCTCCGCCCTACGGATCATGTAGCCCCGCCCACCGATCATGTAGCCCCGCCCACCGATCATGTAGCCCCGCCCACTGATCAGGTAGCCCCGCCTACCCCCCTATATCATGCGTGAAGCATGATGCTGGTAAAATGTACAACCCGGACAAAAATTACAATTTTCGCAAAGAGCTTCGGGAACACGAGGACATCCGTTCTGAAACCGCCGGCGATTGCTCGTGGCATCTCAGGTTATCCATAACAGTTTTTTTTGGGTGAGATCGCGTAAATATAGAAATGTGTCGTTAAACCCGCCACCACCCGACACAGCCAGCTGGTAAGGCCTGTCACGTAATCAAAACGTGCAAGCCAGTTTACCCTCCAGCACACCGGTTGCGTGCTGGAGGGTAAACCCACAACATTTACTACTTGAGTACTTGTGACCTTTCCATTTCGAAAAGTATATTGGTTTAGCCATGTTTGTTGTAGTACAGAGTTAGACTGATGGCCTTAATCTAAGTTGTCTTGTGGTTGTTGTTGTTGTTTGACTTGCATCCCACTGGGATTTTTGCACACAGCGTTGGTGTACGGTGCTTTTTCTGCAATATTTTGCTGTCTTTTCTTGGATTTTCTGTTTGCACTTAGTCACATATTTACTTTAAGATGTTTTTTGTTCATGTTTTTGTTTTTTGTTTGTTGCGGTTGCACCCGATTCACGAGCCGAATGGCTCACAGGGCTATACCTAATAAATGAACTTGAACTTGTCAGGGTGTGAGGCGGCGTGCGGCCTCACGCATTCCCGGCGCTTCCAGCCGCCGCTGCCAGGCCGCTAGGACAGCACGGCCCAGTAGACGACGTTGAAGAGGATGTACGACGCGGGGAAGAGAACTCGCTGAGTACGAGTCGATGGCGTGCGACCGCTGTAGGATGACGTCGCCTGCCCGGGCGAGGCACTCCCGCTGCCGCTCTAGGTAGCGCCCGCCACGGCCCAGAACGCCGCGGCCGGCGGCACCACCGCCGTCCGGGGCAGACGGGGCCGCCGGTGCCGGCGGGTCGCCCAGCAAGGCCATCGAGCCGTGGTGGCCGCCGGGACGGGCCTGCGCGTCGTACGGCAGAGGCACGGGCTGCAGGGAGACGCAGGCGTTCATGATCTGGGGAGGGGAAAGGAGAGGGGAGAGAGGGAGGAAGAGAGAGGGAGGTGGCGGGGGGCACAGTCGTCTGTGGGGTCTGTGCAAGGCTGATGGATAATTCGCTGGTCCTATCTCTACTACCACCCTACATTTAACCCTTTACTCCTACGCCTATCACCATCCCTATCACCATCCCCTAACCCTACATTTAACCCTTCACTTCTACCCCTATTCCTACCCCGATCACCATCCCCTAACCCTATCACTTATACCTTCTCCTAATCCGATCCCTATCTCTACTTTTCACCTATCCCTACCCCCAACACCATCCCTATAACTTCCCCGAATCCTTCATCCTTGCCATACCTCTACGCCAGGGGCCAGCAACCCGCGGCTCCGAGGTGCATGCGGCGGCTCTTTCAGGACCGCCGCTTCGTGGCGTTGTTTATTAAGGACACTCACCCATCGCGTAATCACCGCAGAGCATCACGGCACTCAAAATATCGAGTTGTCTTTTTTTTTTGTCCACCAAAAATTCGAAAAAAAAAACAACCCCTAGTCTTCTTGGTTCTTTCGATAAAGTCACGTAGAAGGAAAATAATAAAATAGTAAAAATAAAACATAATAAAATCTCACGACGTTACGGCCACAACGCAAGCAGCCGTCTTCAGGTGGAGAACAGGTCTGTCGAGAAGGCAGAGTCATTCAGACTCTGGCCGAAACATCGTGAGATTTTATTATGTTTTATTTTTATTATTTCCCTTCTACGTGACTTTACCGAAAGAACCAAGAAGATGAATCCCTGCAGTCACGAAAGCTTTAAATCGAAATTTAACGACCCCTAGCCTACACCCTACCACGTCGCTATCCTTAGCTCTCACCTTGACCACCCCCTCACCACCACTGCCCCCCCCTCCCGCACAGCCATCCTCACCCTCTTCCAGGCACAGCGCTGGCGCCGCTCCTGCAGGGTGCTCAGGTAGTTGATGGCCGCGTACTCGAGCACGGAGAGGAAGACGAAGACGAAGCTCGTCCACAGGTAGACGTCCACCGCCTTCACGTAGGAGACGCGCGGCATGGACGCGTTGACGCCCGTGATGATGGTGGACATGGTGAGTACGGTGGTGATGCCTGCAGCGGGGGAGAGACACGGGGGAGTTGACCCCGTGATGATGGTGGACATGGTGAGCACGTGGTGGTGCCTGCAGCGGGGGAGAGACACGGGGGAGAGACACGGGGGAGTTGACCCCGTGATGATGGTGGACATGGTGAGCACGTGGTGATGCCTGCAGCGGGGGAGAGACACGGGGGAGTTGACGCCCGTGATGATGGTGGACATCGTGAGCACGTGGTGGTGCCTGCAGCGGGGGAGAGACACGCGGGAGTTGACGCCGTGATGATGGTGGACATGGTGAGCACGGTGGTGATGCCTGCAGCGGGGGAGAGACACGGGGGAGTTGACGCCCGTGATGATGGTGGACATGGTGAGCACGGTGGTGATGCCTGCAGCGGGGGAGAGACACGGGGGAGTTGACCCCGTGATGATGGTGGACATGGTGAGCACGTGGTGGTGCCTGCAGCGGGGGAGAGACACGGGGGAGTTGACGCCGTGATGATGGTGGACATGGTGAGCACGGTGGTGATGCCTGCAGCGGGGGAGAGACACGGGGGAGTTGACGCCCGTGATGATGGTGGACATGGTGAGCACGTGGTGATGCCTGCAGCGCGGGAGAGACACGGGGGAGTTGACGCCCGTGATGATGGTGGACATCGTGAGCACGTGGTGGTGCCTGCAGCGGGGGAGAGACACGGGGGAGTTGACGCCGTGATGATGGTGGACATGGTGAGCACGTGGTGATGCCTGCAGCGGGGGAGAGACACGGGGGAGTTGACGCCGTGATGATGGTGGACATCGTGAGCACGTGGTGGTGCCTGCAGCGGGGGAGAGACACGGGGGAGTTGACGCCGTGATGATGGTGGACATGGTGAGCACGTGGTGATGCCTGCAGCGGGGGAGAGACACGGGGGAGTTGACGCCCGTGATGATGGTGGACATGGTGAGCACGTGGTGATGCCTGCAGCGGGGGACAGACACGGGGGAGTTGACCCCGTGATGATGGTGGACATGGTGAGCACGTGGTGGTGCCTGCAGCGGGGGAGAGACACGGGGGAGTTGACGCCCGTGATGATGGTGGACATGGTGAGCACGTGGTGATGCCTGCAGCGGGGGAGAGACACGGGGGAGTTGACGCCCGTGATGATGGTGGACATGGTGAGCACGTGGTGATGCTTGCAGCGGGGGAGAGACACGGGGGAGTTGATGCTGTGATGATGGTGGACATGGTGAGCACGTGGTGATGCCTGGAGCGGGGGAGAGACACGGGGGAGTTGATGCCGTGATGATGGTGGACATGGTGAGCACGTGGTGATGTCTGGAGCGGGGGAGAGACACGGGGGAGTTGATGCCGTGATGATGGTGGACATGGTGAGCACGTGGTGATGCCTGCAGCGGGGGAGAGACACGGGGGAGTTGATGCCGTGATGATGGTGGACATGGTGAGCACGTGGTGATGTCTGGAGCATGCATGTTGAACTTCTTTCGCACCATACGCAGCCATTCGTGCTAATCGGAGGTGCGGGGGAGACGCAGGGAGACACTGGCATGGTGATGAGCACCATTATGATGCCTGGAGCAGCGAGATGCGGAGACGCACGGGGGGACACGGAGAGACACGGGGAGCTGTGGTGAACGAAACCCATGATAAGGTCGCACTCATTACACACAGAGTTCTTGCCACAAATGAACCACGACACCTTCCTCATCTCGTCATCATCACGCAAACTCCGGTCATCCCCGCAGCGGTTTTTTGGCGAACGATCGAACAAAGGCGGCGGTGGGGTCACCGCATCGCGCGGCGCTTTCAGATGCGCTTCTGCAGGCGTCCAGAACGCCCTTCCCTTCCGACAGCAGCACGGTTGGCTACGTACGGCGCGAAAGAGGTCCAAAGTCCATGCGCACGAGACGCAGGGAGACACGGGAGGGACACGGGAGGGACACGAGGAGACGCGGGCGAGGGACAACCGCGGGCACCGGTAGTGCCGACGCGGTGAGAGGGGGTTGGCGCTGACCCAGGGAGACGCGAGCGGGGACGGCGCGGCGGTCGATCCAGAAGGAGACCCAGGAGAGCATGACCATGAGCAGCGCGGGGAAGTAGGTCTGCAGCAGGTAGAAGAAGACGTGACGGCGCAGCGTGAAGCTGATGAAGAGGCGGTTGTACCAGCCTGCGCACGCACAGACAGACAAAGATCCCCCGTGTAGCCTTGCCAGATTGTTGGGGCAAGTGCTGTTAGCGAACACCTGTGAAGGGCGGCACGGCACAGTAAGGGGGTGGGTGGCCAGCACCACGCCCGGCCACCTTTGTCTCCCCAGTGGCGATGTTTACACACCACGGCAGGTACTCGTTTGAGGCTGAGTCAACCTACACACACGCACGCACACACACGAAGCACGGGGAGGGGGACGCGGGGAGGGGGACGCGGGGAGGGGGACGCGGGGAGGGGGACGCGGCACCTGTGCTGCTGTAGAAGGCGAGGCGCGACGTGGTCATGAACTCCTGGATGAGGAACTGGGAGAGGGAGATGTCCTCGTCCATGGAGAGAGAGGCGTTGCCGTTTTTCCAGTAGAGCATCAGGTCGTCCTCCGTGTAGGCATCTGCACGGCCCCCGCACACCGCGGCACGCGTCACTCGGTCTCTCCTGCGTTTCGTTTTGTCAACGCCGGAACCCTCGGCCGCAGCGGTGTCCCCAGGGGAAGAGAAAATCTAAAAGCCAGGTGATGGCGGTGATGAGACTCATTTAAGTTCGGTTGATTTTGTTTAACCCGGTGAGAAGTCGAGAGACCAGGTTTAGTCTCATTTGCGCCACGTGGCGAGACGTTAACTACCCTGCGTGGTATACAGGAGGTCGTGGGTTCGATCCCGTGTCTCTCTCCCACAGTGGTAAGATGTTAACTACCCCGCGTGGTATACAGGAGGTCGTGGGTTCGATCCCGTGTCTCTCTCCCACAGTGGTAAGATGTTAACTACCCCGTGTGGTATACAGGAGGTCGTGGGTTCGATCCCGTGTCTCTCTCCCACAGTGGTAAGATGTTAACTAGCCCGCGTGGTCTACAGGAGGTCGTGGGTTCGATCCCGTGTCTCTCTCCCACAGTGGTAAGATGTTAACTACCCCGTGTGGTATACAGGAGGTCGTGGGTTCGATCCCGTGTCTCTCTCCCACAGTGGTAAGATGTTAACTACCCCGCGTGGTCTACAGGAGGTCCTGGGTTCGATCCCGTGTCTCTCTCCCACAGTGGTAAGATGTTAACTACCCCGTGTGGTATACAGGAGGTCGTGGGTTCGATCCCGTGTAATTCTCACGTCGTGAGAATTATTTTATTATGTTTTATTTTATTATTTTTATTGTTTCCATTCTATGTGACTTTACCGAAAGAACCAAGAAGATGAATCCCTGCAGTCACGAAAGCTTTAAATCGAAATTTAAACACTATTCTGTTCTTCTGTAATTGGAAGTTGCTGTTCAGGTGAACAAACGCTCACAGAAGTGGACAACATTTTCTTGACAATTTTCGTGACGATTTCTGTGACGCTTTACGTGACGATTTCCGTTACGATTTCTGTGACGATTTCCGTTACGATTTTCGTGACGATTTTCACGACGATTTCCGTGACTATTTTCACGACGATTTCCGTGACAATTTTCGTGACAATTTTCGATGGTAAATTTTAAATTCCCCGACTCATTACACCCGGGTATGTCCCGCAACCTCCTACCAGCAGCGAGCGCCTTGGACGCTTCACGTGATGGGCGCGAAGTGTACCTAGCCTGGCACAAGCACTTTGGTGACGTGACCACAACTAAGTGGCGAATGGCGGCTGTAGTTGTTGCTGTTGTGTTGGTATCCAAGTCAACCCTTCAATGTAATAAACACGGTTGAGACCGATCGTCAGCCTATCCTATCAAGCGTTAGTCTGTCCACGAACTCTTCCCCTCATCCCAACCCGAACTCACAGCTCTCCAGCTCCAGGGCGCACGTCTGCGTGTCCAGAGGAAACCGGCTCAAGTCCATGTTGCACATAGCCGTTACCGTGATCCTGCATAACAACAACAACAATGACAACAATGACAACAACAGCAGCGGCAACAACAACAGAAATGGCAACAACAACAGCAGCAACAATAATAATAATAGCAGCAATAACAAGAAACAATAGTACAGTAGTCAATGTCAACCCAACGTTGAAGGACTCCCCACAAAGTTGTTGGTCGTGGTTATGGTTGAGGTGATGCGGTTATGGTTGAGGTTTCGTGGTTGTGGTTGAGGTTATGTGGTTATGGCTCTGCTTAGATCGTGATTGCTGTGGTTGAAAATGTGTTTGTTGAGTTTGTGTCATTATAGACGGCTCCGTCTAGACACACCGCCCCACCCAGACGGCCCCGTCTAGACACACCGCCCCACCGAGACGGCCCTGTCTAGACACACCGCCCCACCCAGACGGCCCCGTCTAGACACACCGCCCCACCCAGACGGCCCCGTCTAGACATACCGCCCCACCCAGACGGCCCCGTCTACACACACCGCCCCACCCAAACGGCCCCGTCTACACACACCGCCCCGCCGAGACGGCCCCGTCTAGACACACCACCCCACCCAGACGGCCCCGTCTAGACACACCGCCCCACCCAGACGGCCCCGTCTAGACACACCGCCACACCCAGACGGCCCCGTCTAGACACACCGCCCCACCCAGACGGCCCCGTCTAGACACCAAGAAGGAGGCCCGGTCGTCACGGGAGGCGCGGGGCGCTCACCTCATGCTGTAGAGGACGCGCCCCTCGGGGTAGACACGCAGCATCACGTTGTCGGTGGTCGTGTCGTGGATGAAGGAGCGCTTGGAGTGCACAAAGAAGACGTCGGGCAACCAGATCTTCTTGACGAGGCGGCTGTCGAAGGTCATGCTGCGGTTGCTGGAGCTGGGGAAGGCCAGCCGCTCGTCACGCCACGTGTGGCGCACAAACAGCGTCATCGTGAAGTCCTGCGCGGGGCGGTCGTCGTTGGCATCATCATCGTTGGCATCATCATCATCATCGTTGGCATCATCATCGTTGGCATCATCATCATCATCGTTGGCATCATCATCATCATCATCGTTGGCATCATCATCGTTGGCATCATCGTTGGCATCATCATTATTGGCATCATCATCATCATCGTTGGCATCATCATTATCATCGTTGGCATCATCATCATTGGCATCATCATCATCATCGTTGGCATCATCATCATTGGCATCATCATCGTTGGCATCATCATCATCATCGTTGGCATCATCATCGTTGGCATCATCGTTGGCATCATCATTATTGGCATCATCATCATCATCGTTGGCATCATCATTATCATCGTTGGCATCATCATCATTGGCATCATCATCATCATCATCGTTGGCATCATCATCGTTGGCATCATCATTATTTACATCATCATCATCATTGGCATCATCATCGTTGGCATCATCATCGTTGGCATCATCGTTGGCATCATCATTATTGGCATCATCATCATCATCGTTGGCATCATCATTATCATCGTTGGCATCATCATCATTGGCATCATCATCATCATCGTTGGCATCATCATTATCATCGTTGGCATCATCATTATTGGCATCATCATCATCGTTGGCATCATCATTATCATCGTTGGCATCATCATCGTTGGCATCATCATCATCATCGTTGGCATCATCATCGTTGGCATCATCATTATTGGCATCATCATCATCATTGGCATCATCATCATCATCGTTGGCATCATCATCGTTGACATCATCATCATCATCGTTGGCATCATCATCGTTGGCATCATCATCATCATCGTTGGCATCATCATCATCATCATCGTTGGCATCATCATTATTGGCATCATCATCATCATCATCGTTGGCATCATCATCATCGTTCAGCATCATCATCATCGTCATCAACGGTGGTAGAATTCAACGTAAAGCAGTTGGGTTGTATGTACATGTACGTTGAACTTCTTTTGCACCGTACGTAGCCAACCGGGCTAATCGGATACGCGACGGGGAAGGACAACAAACTGAACATAATAAGTACAATTTAAAAATACTTTTTTTTCAACACGCTTTAATGAGTAATGGCAGAACTCCACGACTCCAGGAAGTGGCCCTGAGGCTTGCCATAATGTAAGGGGGCCGTGGTGATTTACAGCCAACGTGAGTTGAGCGTGGACAATTAGACCCAAGGCGAAACATAACATGTAAAAAAGATGGTAAAAAAAAATGTTGTATGATAGTATGACATAAGTATACCAAGTTTGCAGTCGATAACACATCGGTCGAGCACTGGACCCCCCCCGTCAATCAACCCCGGCAGCCCTACGTGGAGCGTGTCGCGACGCGGTGAAGGGTGAGCGAAGGGGGGACGAGAGCGAGGGTGAGTTTTGCCGGTGAGCAGGCGTTGCGTCCTCCTCACCATGTCCACCTCGGAGATGCTGTCGATGCTCTCCACCTGCACGTCGAGGCCGACGGGGATAGCGGGGCCTGGTGGGACCACACAGCATTCACCGTCACCGCGACCGCTGCTACAGCGTGGATGCTGGAGCAAAGAAGTGCAGTACAACAATTAATTTTTGCCTCGTTGGCCCCTTCCTGCCCAGAACGCGGCCCTGAAAGGTCAATCGCTGTGCAGGTCTGTAGGTCTCTCAGAAGGGCTGTAGGTCTCTGTGTCTGTGGGTCTCTGTGTCTGTGGGTCTCTGTGCTGTGGGTCTCTGTGTCTGTGGGTCTCTGTGTCTGTGGGTCTCTGTGCTGTGGGTCTCTGGTCAGGTTTATGGGTCTCTCTGTCTGGGTCTCTTTGTCGGTGGGTCTCTGTGCTGTGGGTCTCTGTGTCTCTGGGTCTCTGTGTATGTGGGGCTCTGTGCTGTGGGTCTCTGTGCTGTGGGTCTCTGTGTCTGGGTCTCTGGTCAGGTTTATGGGTCTCTCTGTCTGGGTCTCTTTGTCGGTGGGTCTCTGTGCTGTGGGTCTCTGTGTCTGTGGGTCTCTGTGTCTGTGGGTCTTTGTGTATGTGGGTCTCTGTGTTTGTGGGTCTTTGTGTATATGGGTCTCCGTGTAAGTGCAAGGGAAAGAAGGAATGGAATAATATGGGAGAGGCCTTTGCTCGGCCGACAGCAACAACAACATGCAACACGCAATCGTGTAAAAATCGCGTTACAATAAATAATACATAATACCGGGTAAAGCACAGTCCGCGATAACACGCGAGACGCGTACGCAGGCCTGAACAAAGACTGAGGCGTGTCGGTGGCATCTAGAAGCATCCGGCAGCATCCCACCCTTGCGTGACGATGACGCTACACCGAGGCAGCCGTACGGCCGCTTATTCCTACTCGCGCGGCGACGTCGTTCCGTTCACTCGATCGCCTTACATTCAATTCGCGTCCGTGTCATTAAAAAAAAAACATGCTTTCCCTAACACAATCGCAATCGTCGTCGCGTTACGACCAATTGGCGTCGGGAAATACACCGGCAGAAGGGACCGTGCCCCAGAGGTCGCAACCGGGTACCCGATACCCGTACCCTACCCGATACCCGGCTACCGGGTACGGGTACCCGTTTGCGACCCTGGGGCGGCCGGGTACGGGTACGGGTAGACCGTGAGTCACTGGTGAGTAACTGTTTGTCACTCATTTCCCAACGTCTTGTCTCTTCTCACAATTCAAGTTCCTAGAATCAACCCACCCGCGCCTGCAACATGGCTTCATCCCAGAGGTCGCAATCAGGTACCCGATACCCGTACCCTACCTGTATCCGGCCGGGTACGGGTAGGGTACGGGTACCCGTTTGCGACCCTGGTGCGGCCGGGTACGGGTACGGATAAGGAATCAAAACCCGTTTGCGACCTCTGGCGTACCCCCAAAGCCGGGCCTCATGGTGAAGTCGTGCTCCCCGATCCGCAGCTGCTGCTCGGACTTGGTGGTGCGGCTCCGCGCCCCGTCCGTCCGTCTGCCGTGGCGGCTGGGTGGGGTGGGGGAGAAAAAGACACGGGGAAGGTCACGGGGGGTCACGAGGTCACATTTTCAAGCAACACACTCCAAAGTCGCGGCCACAGTTGTCAGCGTCGTCGTCGTCATCAACAAACAATCCCACGGTGGATGGAAGCCTCCCCAAGCTGTCTGTCTCTCACGGCTTCACGATGCCACAGTGAATCCACGAAGTGCCAGGTGACACAGGATCGGCGAGGGGGGGCGGAAATTGAATAGGGCCCCCCATATTTAAATCCTTCTTTGCACAAGGGGCCCATGCCAAGCACGCGACACCGCCGGGTAGACTGCGGTGGACGCATTCATGAGTTTGTTTGACACGGTGATAGAGAGGGTTGCCACCTTTTCGGGTTTGAGCCGGAGAGTCCGGAGGTTGGCACACGTGTTCAGGTGGCATGGATTGATTTGTGACTGAGATCTGCCAGCGGGCGTCGTCCCGTTTGACTTTATTGCAGAAAGAACTGCACAGTGTTGATAACGGACCTCGAGTGCCGACTGAGAAATGTGTCTGGGTTTGGGCTGTGGAGAATTTTCTGCCATTCACCCACCCACCTATCCACTCACCCACACTCTCACCCCCCCACCTATCCACTCACCCACCCTCTCACCCACCCACCTATCCACTCACCCACCCTCTCACCCAACCACCCTCTCACCCACCCTCTCACCCACCCACCTATCCACTCACCCACCCTCTCACCCACCCACCTATCCACTCACCCACCCTCTCACCCAACCACCCTCTCACCCACCCTCTCACCCACCCACCTATCCACTCACCCACCCTCTCACCCACCCACCTATCCACTCACCCACTCTCTCACCCACCCACCTATCCACTCACCCACCCTCTCACCCACCCACCCTCTCACCCACCCTCTCACCCACCCACCTATCCACTCACCCACTCTCTCACCCACCCTCTCACCCACCCTCTCACCCACCCACCTATCCACTCACCCACTCTCTCACCCACCCTCTCACCCACCCTCTCATTCACCCACCTACCCACCCACCCTCTCACCCACCCACCTATCCACCCACCCTTTCACCCACCCACTAACTCACACACTCACTACGGTTGCCACCTGTCCGTGGTTAACCAGGAGAGTCTGGGAATTGGCATCTGTATTCGGGTGGCAGCAAGAACTGATTCCTCCGGCATAAATAAATATCCTTATCCGAGTGGAAACAAGAATTGATTCCCTTCAGTCTAAATATTCTGATCCGTGTGGTAGCAGGAATTGATTCCTCCGGTATAAATGCACGGGTCGGCTACGTACGGTGGTGCAAGAAGTTCAAGATGCACGTGCACACCATTATTAAATATTCCAATTATGTACTCTGGTTTTTTCGGTAAAGTCACCTATACAAACACATTGTCTCGTAATAACTCTCTTCACACGCCTCAGTAATTTTGCTGGAGCAGTCAACACCTGATGACTGTTGCTTGTGTTGCTTCCGAAACGTCGTGATTTAATTTATTTTCTCTTCTTCTTGGTTCTTTCGGTAAAGTCATGTAGAAGGGAAATAAATAAAAAACATAATAAAATAATTCTCACGACGTTGCGGCCACAACGCAAGCAACCTGAGGACGGCTGCTTGCGTTGTGGCCGAAACGTCGTGAGAGTTATTTTATTATGTTGTATTTTATTATTTTTTTATTATTTCCCTTCTACGTGACTTTACCGAAAGAACCAAGAAGATGAATCCCTACAGTCACGAAAGCTTTAAATCGAAATTTATTTTCTCTTCTTTACCCACGTGACTTTACCGAAATAACCAAAGAGTATGGACCCTTACAGTCACGAAAACTTCAAATCTAGAATTCCAATTATGATCTGTGTGCAAGCCGGAGAGCGGCGTGTTTGCTGTGTACGCGACGCAGCTCCATCGGTGGCCCACCAACGACCGCGCCGCCCGGCCGCACCTCAGATGAGGGGCGGAGGGCGCCGCCGGGGTCGCCCGCTCGCCCGGCGGCGCCGGCCGCGGCTCGCGCCGGCACGCCACGGCGGTCACACCGGCCAGGAAGAGCCACGCCAGCCGCAGGGCGCGCGCCATCACCGCCGCCCCGGGACGACTCGATCCGGCGCCACGACCCCCTCGGCTGCCCGGCCGCCACCAACCCTGCGGAGCGATCGAACCCCGCCGCCTGTGTTAAAGAAACGAAATGAAGGAGCAGGAAAGAAAATGACGCGTCAGCCGCTGCAATATTTTTTGGGAGCGCGCGTAACTTCAACGGCATTGGATGAATGCGAGCGCATTCTGGAACCGGTTTCGACGTTCATCGCCTCATCGGGAGAAGCAAGTTTGAACAAACGATCATTGTGGTGGTACCCTGGGGTACCAAATAACACTAAATGGCCGAGGTAATTAAATATTGTATTTCTGGGACACTATTTTTCCCAGGGGTGTACTTCACTCCGCGACTGGGGCACCAATCAATCCGAAATCGGTGGTGCTACTCTGCGATGTCGAAACGCCAAACATCAGCATGGCAAAATCCGTTGTCGAAAAATTCAACTCTGAATCGTGCATCGTGTACAGTTCGTCGTTTTGAGTCGATGGCCGCCATCGTCGACCATCCACAGACTAACAGTGACTGCATCACGGACATTGTGCGAGAGCCGGGGCACTACGGTTCCCCGGGGTACCGCCATGAGGTTCAAATGTTGTCTAACTGTCAGGTGGTCTTCTAGGTTCTTTCGGTAAAGTCACGTAGAAGGAAAATAATAAAATAATACAAATAAAACAATAAAATAATTCTCACGACGTTTCGGCCACAACGCAAGTAGCCGTCTTCAGGTGGAGAACAGGTCTGTCGAGAAGGCAGAGTCTGTTCTCCACCTGAAGACGGCTGCTTGCGTTGTGGCCGAAACGTCGTGAAAATTATTTTATTGTTTTATTTGTATTATTTTATTATTTTCCTTCTACGTGACTTTACCGAAAGAACCAAGAAGATGAATCCATGCAGTCACGAAAGCTTTAAATCGAAATAAAATGTCAGGTGGCCTTTAGGCAAGGACTGGTTTCGATATCGTCTCGTCAGCAGTCAGGCTCGCTTAAACCGATGCCGGTGACCTGCTCGATGTTGAGAGGGAGAGGACCTTCTTAGGAAGCCGAGGCTCACGCGACGTGTAACAACACTTCATGTGGAGGGAAAGACGAGTGGAGGCGTACCGAGTGCTCAATGACGACGCTAATGACACGGCCAATGTTAAACACGTACTTTCAAGAGGTTGACTGAGGAATGCATGGAGTTATGTAACATACGCAGGTCAAAGACAATCATTCAAACCGAGCTCGGACAGGCTGGACACGCCAATGGCTTTACGGGCGTGTACATTAAAGACCGGCGTCTGGCTTTATTTATGATGAGGCGGAAAAAAACTATTGAATGTAAAAAAAGTGAATCATTCAGGCACCGCTTTTGGTTGTCACTCCCACCGGTGACATCGACGCACTGTGACGGTCACCCCGGTACACGTGACCCACGCTGGCGCCACGCTGGTTTGTTGGGTTTGTGGTTAGAACCAACGTTGGAACCAAACGTCGCCCCAACGTTGGAACCAAACGTCGCCCCAACGTTGGAACCAAACGTCGCCCCAACTTTGGAGCCAACGTCTTTCCAACGTCGGTGCAATGTTGGAACCAACGTTCCGCCAACGTTGTAATCAACGTTTTCCGAACGTTGGAACCAAACGTCGCCCCAACGTTGGAACCAAACGTCGCCCCAACGTTGGAACCAAACGTCGCCCCAACTTTGGAGCCAACGTCTTTCCAACCGTCGGCGCAATGTTGGAACCAACGTTCCGTCAACGTTGTAATCAACGTTTCCCGAACGTTGGAACCAAACGTCGCCCCAACGTTGGAACCAAACGTCGCCCCAACGTTCGCCCGTCGTCCGAAAACCGCGTGTCCGAAATCAAACGGCACAAATCCCCAACTCGCGCTCCCCTCACCTGCTCACGGGCGCTCTCTGTCCGCCTCCATCTCCGTTTGGTCAAGGTGGTGAAGGTGGTCGCGGTGTCGCGGTGGCGATGATCGTCATCGTGGTGTTGGTCGCAGACACGCAGCCTCAAGTCCCAGCGGGTGCCGTAACCCTCCTACTCCTGCTCGAGGCGGATTGACGATAAGAGCCTGCGCCTCTCTTGCCGATGGGAGTCAACGGCTCTAATCGGCTTTGTCGGTGAAATCCGCTTAGCTGCCATCTGCCTCCTCCTCCCCCCATCACTACGCCGTCTCCCTCGCCTCTCGACCGGCCCAGCGTGATGCCGACCACGCAAATCGTGCACGCGATATCCCAGCGCCTTGTTGTCAATCCACCGCTGGATGACGGCGGGGGAGTGGAGGGGTGGCAATACATGGGTGGCCACCTCGCTCCACACACAATGACAAAGCACAATGAAGTGATGATTGGTGATGCCGCTTCTGCTGTTGCGTCGGACAGGGGTTTGGTACGAGCACAAACAACAACACCGAACAACTCAACAGTTGCTACGTCGCCGTCGGCTTTTTTTTATTCTTTCCATTAGCGTCCTGGCTACCGCGAACGACAATTAATAGCGCGAATTGAGCGGCGCATTAGCCTGTGGACAAATGGCTTTAAGCCGGAGGACACGGAGAAAAATCCACGCGACCACATCGGAGACAAAATAACACCGCAAACTGCGAATATGCAAATCCACAAAGCCTATTACAATACTCTTTGGTTCTTTCGGTAAAGTCAAGTAGGTATAAATAGAAATTGATTTAAATACAATTTAATTTGTTTCAACAAATGTTTTTTTTTTATTTTCTACCTACGTGACTTTACCGAAAGCACCAAAGAGTATGGATTCCTGCAGTCACGAAAGCTTCAAATCAAGATCGTATTACAATAGTTCTATTTCGGTATCTAAGTGGGGTGGAAATAAATAGATAACCCTGCGTACATAACAATGATTGAATGTTTGGTAAGCTTGTAAATCGACTGCTGGATGGGTCCACCCCACCCCTCGGCTAAGAACTTGGAATATTGTATGCACAGGATGTCATTCTTACCTGCTCCCAAGCCTCGAGCAAATCTGAAAATTATTCGGAAAACCCATCATAACCCATCATAACAAAATAGTCCACAATCACAATACTGTACTCTTTTTTTTCGGTAAAGTCATGTAGGTAAAAAATTCAAATAAATTAAATCACGACGTTTCGGAGGCAACACAAGCTTCCGTCTTCAGGTGGAACCGTCACAGCAAAATTACTGTAATGTTGTGTTGCCTCCGAAACGTCGTGATTTAATTTATTTGAATTGTTTTACCTACGTGACTTTACCAAAAAAAAAAAGTATGAATCCTTGCAGTCACGAAAACTTCAAATCTAGAATTAACACAATACTGTACTATACTGCGTACAATTTGCGTGTCTCCCCTACTGTTCCAATCTATCTATACCAATCTATTTATAAATAGATCACCACTTGCACATCATTATAATAAAATAATGAACAGGACATATTGTCAGTCTACTGTAAGTGCCGCATTAAGCTAGTAAACATTAAAAAAAATACTTGTATAATAAAGTAATTGTTTTTTTTCATTTGCTATAGCAGCCAGATAATACGACAAATCGTTAACCTTAAACACCAAAGTCGTTCATAAAAGTTGAAGGCGGTATAATACTATAGTAATAGAGCAAGTACAGAATCACTGAACCGGAATTGATAGTTTGAAAGCATTTAGCGAGTAAAAATGTTCATTGCTTCATTACACTTCTAATTGTATTTTATGACGCTCATCGAGTCGAAAGAGTATTTTTCGCAGCAGTGGGCGATGTCGCTGATAATGCTGCTGCTGCTTCGTGTCATCCCAATCGAGTAACTTGCAGTGCGATTTCTTTTTTGCATTTGGGACGTCTAGACCGATGCTCAGTTGTTCCATTTCCCGAGGAAGTTTCCTTCACAGCACGTGGTGTCGAAACGTTGGACATCGTGCCGAATAACGCGCGTTACGATCTGAAAGCGCATCTGAGAGCTATAAGAGCAGAACCATGTAAACCCACGGTGTTGTATTTTTCATTTTTAATGCGGAATTTATTTTTTCTGTATCCTTTCACCCCTCCAACCTCCCCTCCTCTACTCCCCCTGTCCCAGATCACTCTTGAGAAAGAACATTTTAACTGAATGGGTCCTACCCCTGGTGAGCAAAAAATGTTACGAAACCAGCAACATCCATCAGCCCCCGGCTCCAATTAAGTCTCGCGGCTAAAGGTCACCACGACCATCACGGCCATTAATTTAATTTGTGAATGGGAGGCAAGAGGAATGATATGATCCATGATGACCTCTGCGGTTTAATGCTTCATTATTCCAGGGTTTTTGCGGATTATTGGCGTTGCGGATTAACTGCGCTTGCGACGACCGGACGGCAGTAAGAAATGGGGCATTCCACGCTCGTCATCCGCAACATTTTATTTAAAATTTCGTACGCCGCTTCCATCATTATGTTTATGTAAAATATACTTTTGTTTAATGTCATGCGACCAACGCGCTGCGAGGCGAAGTGTGAATTAACGTGTCCGCTGGAGTGACCTCGCAAAAGTAACAACAACAATGCAAGTCATAATACGTTCGTTTTATAGAGCGTCGTCATCGTCATTTCCAGTGGTGTTTTATCCTCTTCTTTTCACTTGCTTCAAAAATATTTTTTCACAATCTAAGACCCCCAATGTAAGTTAACATTACGCCTCGAGCTAAGGCGCTCTATAATATAGAAAGTAAGAATCGTGCCAAACGTGGCGAGCGGTAACGCGAACGGGCGAGCGAGCGAGCGATATCTGCAGGAAGAGGTTATTCGTCGCTGGGTTTCAATTCCGTGGGAGCAGCCGCATGGCGAACTGGGAGGTCACGTGCACAGCCGTCCCAAATCAGGGCAACCGCCCCGGGCCCCGTGCTTTGGAGGGTCGGGGGGGGGGGGGTGCACGTGCTTTGACGTCACGGTGTCTGATATATTACAGTGGGGGGCACCATGCGTGGGCCCCGCACCCCACCACTATGGAATGGCCCTGGTCACGTGGCCTTGGTTTGGCTCACTGCTGTCTCAGG